GTTTTTCCTTTCTAGAGGGACGAAGTCAGAAAGACAAAAGGAGCTCTCGTGGCCGAGGCAGGAGAACATCTGAAGAAGATACACCAAAGAAAAAGAAGCTCAAAGGAGGGTAAGGCAGAGCCAGGCACAGCTCTGGGGACTTGTGCTTGACACTTCATGAATTTTCCACAAGGTCGTGTTACCCTATTTATGACTCGTGTCCGGATGGTTAGAGTGTTCTGGTCTTACACCATTTCATTACTGTCCTGCTTGGGACAAGCCAGCTTTGTTAATTAACTCCTTGGTTGGCATGTGGAAGCTCAGCATGCTTGGAACACTCTGGCTGGAAGGACAAGATCAGCCCCTCTGTTGCTGTTGGCAAGCTGAGAGAAAATAGCTTTGATTTTTGTCACATGGCTATTTTTAACAGTGGCTTGTCTGGGTGGTAAAAAGAAACACTTGTCCATCAGGACAGAAACTGATGTTGTATTGTTGTTCTAGAAATCTTGGAGAATTTAGGGGAATGTTTTCAAAGAATCGTGTCCCACATATCCTTGAATAATCTGATTCAGTTTTGGGAAGCAAGGAGGAAGGCATGTCCCCTCTCTGTGATATGATTTGTATTAAAGGGGCTTTGTTTATTCTGATACTTTCAATTGGTTAAATGGTAGGGCAGAAAACTAAAAATAGTTTCTGTGAACTGCTACTGACATGTCAACACATTCCTGGCAGAGCAAGAGGGTTCACTCATACCTGACAATGAGAAAATAATGTATATTAAAACAGATTGGGGGGAAAAAACCCAAACAGGTTATTCTGCCCACAAACAGGAGTGATCTGTACGATAATTTTATTACTTTAGTCATGGCGTCTACAAGTCATTTTCTTAATCCTTTATAGTCATACTGTGTTTGATCAACCTATTTTATTATTTTAATTATTGGATAATATGTGATAATATAATTTAAACTCTAAAGTAGGGTGAGTGTGGTTTTGGGAAGATAATTGTAAAATACTAATTTTCCTGAGTGGGACTCAGATCTTTGAACCCCAGAATGGTTTGTGTTGGAAGGGACCTTAAAGACCATCTTGTTCCAACACCCTGCCATGGGCAGGGACACCTTCCACTATCCCAGGTTGCTCCAAGCCCCGTCCAACCTGGCCTTGGACACTTCCAGGGATGGGACAGCCACAGCTTCTCTGGATAATCTCGTCCAGGGCCTCACCACCCTCACAGGGAAGAATTTCTTCCCCAAATTCCATCTAACCCTCTGCAAGTGGGAAGCCATTCCCCCTTGTTCTGTCACTCCATGCCCTTGTAAGACAGTGTTTCCTGCAGCTGGGAATGTTTTGTCCTCACTCTTTCCTTGCCCACAGGTCTGAGTTTGCTGATACCATCCTGTCAGTGCATCCCTCAGATGTCCTGGACATGCCAGTGGATCCCAATGAACCCACCTACTGCCTGTGTCACCAGGTGTCCTATGGGGAGATGATTGGCTGTGACAACCCAGATGTAAGCACTGGAGATATGGTTTATTTTTGGATATTTGCAGTATCCCAACCCTGTGGAATCTGAGGAGGGGGCCCTTGCTCTGGTAGATCATACCAAATGACAGGAACGTTTGTGAATCACTAAGCATCTCTTTGGGTTTTTCCTTTCTGTTTTGCAGTGCCCCATCGAGTGGTTCCACTTTGCCTGTGTGGACCTGACAACCAAACCAAAAGGGAAATGGTGAGTGTGACAACCTACAGCTTTGGGATTTTTATCAAGCTGCAGTTTGCCTCAACAAGAATTAAAATGACAACAAGAATTAAAACCCCATTGTGACCCTTCCTGACAGAGGAGCTTTGCTCTGCTCATCAGAAGGTTTGCATCCTCTATGACTGGGGATTGTGTTTGAGAGTAGAAGGTACAAAGGGAACCTTCTTTCTGAAATCCATTTCCATGGGAGTCTTGGGTTCTAGTGGGAGCAAAACTGCCTGTCAAACAGAGCAGGTTTTGACCTGAGGTTTGTGTAACGTGTACAGGTTACAGCTGAGCTTTGCTGTGTTGTCACTAGTTGTGGCTCTGCTTACAACTGAGAGACATACATTTTTTTCACTTCTGGAGGCAGATTTTGAAGACTTGTCAGGGTTTTCCTGAAGTATGTGCTCATCTTGGGAAGAATCATGGACTTGTTCTGTACTTAGTTTTATCTAATGGACTGCTTTAATCTAAGTAACAATGTGCCTGTCAGAAACAGTCTTAAGTGTTCACGAGTAGTAAAAGCAGTTCTTGGGCTCTGTGCTGTTAATTTCAGGAGCTAATTACTGTCTCTTTTTCCCTGCAGGTTTTGTCCTCGTTGTGTTCAGGAAAGAAAGAAAAAGAAGTAAGGAGTAGAGGGGAATGCACCACCGAGGCAAGAAGAATTTAATATATTCCTTTATTCACGTTGCAATATTACCTTTGATTATTTTTTGTTAATCTACCCTCCATCTTTTTCCGGTATGGTATTTAATTATCCAGTGGCCAGTTGTAATTCCTGTTCTTTCATAAGAAAATGACTTTGGGAGGGAGTCCCAAATCCCTTTGCCACAGAGATTTTATTTATGTTACTCTTGCACAGTAATATTGCCTTTCCTGGCTGTTTCCATTTCCCTGAAGATCCTTTAAGTACCTCACTGTGAAGATGAAACCTACAGTATTCTTGGAGAGAGAGAGAAGGTTGGATTTATTCACAAAATAAGATGAAGGCCTGAATTGTCAGCTGTGACTGCCTGTGTGGGTAAATCAGGAAATCAGGTTTTAGGGAGAGGCTCCATGAGGACACTGTGTTTGTTCCCATGATGGTGTTGCTCTGCTATTGGAGAAGGGCACTCTGGAATGTTCTAGATTTTATTGGGCCACATTTGCATGTTCTTGACTTCTTTAAGCTGCCTTTCAGATGATGAATGTGAATCCTTGTGTTGACACAGTGTCAGTGGCTGCAGTGGAAGGGAGAGAGGAAATCAGGAGTAGGAAAGCAAAAGTCTTTGTTTTCTTCCTTCCTCTGAGTTACAGTGGATGCAGAAGTTGAGGGGGGACCAGAGCTAAGTCTTGTCTTTATATCTGTCTCCTGCATTATAAGGTTTACCTGCCTACAATGAAAGATGTAGTGGGGAAGGACTGTTCTGCCGGTGGAGGGGGGAAAGAAAAGCCCCCAACTCCTGAAGTTTGCTGGCCGTGGTCCCTGAGGGGTGTTGGTGGCAGCTCTGTGCAGGGCTGTGAGCTGCTTTCCTTACCAGTGTGCAGGAGCTCTTGGAGACTGCTGCAAAGGCATGAAGAAACTTCCAGATAAGCTTTTCTTCTGCTGAATAAGCAGTACAGGAGATTAAAAACACTTCTCAGATTCTGGCACCTGTTTTCAAAAGAAAAAAGGCTTTTCCTGTTTTACTGAGCCTCTTAATTGTGTTTTGCAATGAAGAAAAGTAGAACACAGCCCCTACCACTCCTCCTCCCCCCTGTGGGGCTTTGTGCCTGCTGCTGACATAGAGGAAACCTCTCAATCCTGAGGCAGCTTTTCTGTGAACATTTGGATTTATTGCATCTCCCCTTGGGAAAAAAAATGCCAGTCTCCAGGGTCCTGTCATTTAAAATAAGTGTGATGTTGCATGTGGCTTCACTACGTTACATCACGGAGAGATGAAGTTTTCATAATCCTGTTTATGAGATGATGCACATTTGTCATTGCTGCCATGGAGTCACACCTGGAAAGCAGGCAGAGGAATTAAAAACAGAATGCTGGAGGGAAGGAAGAGGGACAGCACAGGCACACAAACCTGAACTGAACTTAGAGGTGCAGCCAGCCCTTGTTTTCTTTCTGCCTCTTTATGAGGGCAAATCTGTGATACCTCATGAGCCAGCTTGTAATCCAGTCACCAGTGGGTGGGAGCTGCAGCTGCTGCACTGGATTCAGCCAGAGCGTTGCTGTGACCCAGTGACCTGTGTTGATGGTGTTTCAGGTTTTATTTTCCCCTTCCATCCAATGGTATTTATCTGGGATTTTTTAAACTTTTTTCCTAAGGCTTTGTTGGTAGTGGCATCACCATAGATTAAGCATTGGATTTGAAACAGTCTCAAAATTCCACTCTGGAGGTCTTGCTGGAAGCGTGCCCTGAGGGAAGAGAGCAGCTCTGCGTGAGCCCGTATGGAGCTGACCTCCTCCCTCAGCTCCGAAACACATTTTTACAAGTACCTTTGGGGCTTGGAAGAGCGTTTTCCACTTTAACCAGCAATGCAAAAAAAGGAAAACAAGCTCTAGAAGGTAGAGCCCTCAAAAAGGACGGATGATTTGCTAGGAATGATGTGAGGTACAACATTCTCCTCTTCTTTGCAACGTCTCTGATGTGTAAAGCATCTGAGATCTGATACCAGCAATAAATTCTCCCACTTGGGAGCACACCAGTGCAGGGCTTGGATGGGCTTAGGAGTGTCTCCTGCCCTCTTTACACCTGGTTGTTGAGAATTTTTTTTAACAACTCCTTGTAGACAGAAATACCAGTAGCCTTTGCTTTTGCTTACTAAGGGATTTAAATCTGACTCTTGAATGTACAGCGTTAAATGTTTCCTGGAGGAAGGGTGACCCCTGAAGGAATGTCCCGTTAAAGATTGCCCACCCGGGGGCCCAGCTTTACCACAGCTCACCCAAACTGGAGGCCAAAACTTCAACCCAAAATCCTACTTTTATAGCAGAATTAAGACCCGTAACTGAAAAAAAAAAAAACCAAAACCAACATAAACCTTTTTTTTTTCTTTCTTAACGAGAAAAAAGAAATAAGGAATGTAAAATTTAAAAACAAATGTATATCTGTATTTTTGGATCTTGGAGATGATGGATTATATTATAAAATAAAGTATTTTTGGGAATAAAAGGTGTGAGGGGAATGCGGGGGCGGGGGGTTGGTGCTGTTGCAACCTCCGGCCGCTAGGGGGCGTTGCCCCCCCACCGGCGCAGAGCGCCTTCGCGCCCAGAGCGGGCGGGCGGCAGCGACCCCTGGCGGCTTGGAGGCCCGGCGCACCGCGCCTCCAAGCCACGGGAAAATCCTTGTCTTCTCCCGGTTTATCGGGATAATCCCGGGCCTCCCCGCCCGACCCGGGTTAATTTAACCCCAATGGGTGCGTGGCGCTGCGCTGTCTCAGCGGAAGAGACTCGCTGAGGCTCTAAACCAGCGGTGCGTCCCCCACACAGGGCCGCGTCCCCTCACGGCGAAGGTGGGGGGGGGGGAAGAAGGGGACGAGGTGACAAAGCCGCGGATTTCCAGGACGAGGGGCCATGGCTTCGCCGGCCCTGCGGGCTTTGCTGAGGGGCTGCCGCGGGAGGGTCTTGCGGCCCCGGGGGGCCCCGCCGGGCAGGGGTTCGGCTGAGGTGGTGGCGACGAGCGAGCGCTACGCGGTGCGGAGGCTGCCCTTCGCCCGGCTCGGTGACAGCGATGTGGCGTTCTTCGAGAGGGTGATGCCTGGCAGGGTGGTCACCGGCGAGGAGGTGAAGCCCTTTAACGTGGACTGGCTGAAGTCGGTGCGAGGTAAGGGAAGCCGGTTGGTAAAGCCTCCTCTCCTCCCCCCGATATAGTGTATGACATAAAGAGAGCAGGTACTTTAATGAGGCCGTAGGCTTAGAGGAATAAACACCACCCCAGACAGTGGTTCTATGATTTTATAATAAGGTCCATCCAATCCCAGATCTGTCCACCCCTGGTTCTGCCCCCTGACACATCCCTTCGGGAATTGGGCTTGGGGGCGTTTGGGACCCCTTCTTCCTCATCTTCATCTTCTTCAAAGCAAGTACAGTCCTTGGAGTTCCTCCAGAGTTCTGGGCTTGGAGGTCGCTCTGTCTGCACGATATCTCCTAGTCCAGGCCTAGAGTGAGATGTTCTTAAACAGGGATGTTTTTCTACAATTTTACCTTGAAAAGAAGACTAAACATGCTAATGGAATTTATAGGGATTTATAGAGATTGATTCTGAGCTGGGAGGGACCCCCAAGAATCATCCAGTCCAACCTCTGGCCCTGCACAGACACCCCAACAATCCCACCCTGTCCCTCAGAGCGTTGTCCAAACACTCATTGAGCTCTGGGAGCCTTGGTGCTGGGCCCACTGCCCTGGGGAGCCTGGTCAGTGCCCAACCACCCTCTAGGGGAAGAACCTTTCCCTGATACCCAACCTAAACCACCCCTGACAAAACTCCAGCAGTTCCCTCCGGTCCTGTCACTGGTCAGAGAGAGCAGATTCTGATCTAATCTCCTTTACCTTTACAGAGATCTGTGCTGCCCCTCCAAAATGAGTTTTTCTCATAAAAAACACTCCTTTAAGAATTACCTGATATCTGGTAAACTTTCAGGCTTTCATTAAAAAAAAAAAGTAAACCCTATAACTTACTAATTATTTTTTTCAGAAACAAATTGATTCGATTAACAGTTTTGACTCAGAGAAGAATCTGGAAGCTTTGGGGAGACTTGATTGCAGCTTTCCAGTACCTGAAAGGGGCTTATAAAAAGGAGGGAGAGGGACTTTTTATATGTGCCTGGAGTGACAGGACAAGAGAACCAGAGGGCAGGGTTAGATGAGATATTGGGAAGAAATTCTTCCTTGTGAGTGTGGGGAAGCCCTGGCACAGGTTGCCCAGAGAAGCTGTGGCTGCCCCATCCCTGGAAGTGTCCAAGGCCAGGTTGGATGGGGCTTGGAGCAACCTGGGATAGTGGAAGGTGTCCCTGCCCATGGCAGGGTGTGGAACGGGATGAGCTTTAAGGTCCCTTCCTACCCAAACCATTCTGTGATTCTAAATAAAGCACTGTGAATTTTCTGTTGATTCTGTCAAAGATTTCATGAGAATTTAAACCTTTTCCCATTGCCCCTACTGGCAACTAAGTCTACCTATCCATGCAAAGTTTTCACAGGGCTTTGAGGGAATGGCTGCTATTGAAATGTTTGTTTTAAAAGTGCTTAAAATGCCTCACAGTGGAGGAGGCACACTGTTATTTCCCACCTCATGCTTTCCCACCTGTGATAAATAAATGTGATTCGTGAAACAAATGGGTGATTACATGAAAATAAAACAAACGGATTGAAAAATTAATTACACCCCCATAAAGAAATAAAACAGACCCTTACAAAGTCAAGGGGCCCTAAACCTCCCTATTATCCTAAGAATAAAATATGGTCTTTTTAGGTGCCTGTTTGTCCAAGAATGCATGAATTATGACTGGTTGTAGAGATAATCACTTAGCTTTAGCTGTAAGAAAACCCATATATTAAATACTTAGCAAAAACCTGTAGAATGTATATGTATATGATATAATTAATATGCATGAAGTAGCTAAGATAAATACTAAGTGTACCCTGTAGTAGGTGTGCAGATTTGGGAAACTTGTCCCCGTTTCTGTCACCCAGCCGGCTGCTTGCTTTTACCATATAATAAACTCCTATTCAAAAACTTATAGAAACTCGAGACTTTGTTTATCACACCACCTGTTTCTTTCTGACCCCTGCAGAGCCACAGCTTGCCTTGAGAGTCCCTTGCTTTCATTGCAGGCTGCAGCCAGCTGGTGTTGAAGCCACAGACAACAGCAGAGGTGTCTCAGATTCTCAGGTAACTTGCACGTCTTCTGCTGGGCTTGTGCTGAGGAGACTCAGGCTTAGCCAGGGAGGACCTGGCAGGTGAAGGGAACTTGCAGGTGTTCAGACACCAGTTCCTTAAGTATTGAAGTTGCTGAGGCTGTTTTCTTCATGACTTTTCTGCTCTGATAAATGATTAAAATTAGCTGTTGTACAAGTACTCAGAGAGGAGCAGTTGTGTAGAAGGATTCAGGAGGGCCTGTTTGAAAAGGTAAAGAAGGTTAGATCAGAACTGGGCAGTTTGAGGATCTGTTTCATCCACGTCCCCTGGTTCACTGGATCACCATTTGGCTGAAGAGCTAAAGCTGCAGGAACCTGCTCCTGTTAGAACAGGAGTGTGGAACACAGGAAAGGCAGGCAGGACTTCTGAAGGAACTCTGGTGCTGTGGGGCTGGGAGCTCAGAGAGGATATGGTGGGTGTGCTTTGCAGGGGTGTGGCAGGTGGAGCAGCTGAGGCACAGGTTCACTTTTTATTGCCTACAGGGCATTCATTTCTCGGGGAGAGAAGGAGGGCAGTCATGTCTGAAACTACCGCCAGAGGCTGTCTGTCCGAGCCCACAGAGGCAGCCAAACTGTTAACTGAGACTGCTGCAGAAATAGCTGAGGTGTAAACAGTGAGCAGGGATGTCCAGGCAGATGTCGTGTGCCAGATGTGCAGGTGCACACAGGGCTAACCCCAGGTGTTCATTCCTTTGCTCGGTGCTGGGGTGAGTTCAGGCAGGAGCTGCACTTTCTCGCTTTGGCACTGAAAGTGTCCCTTTGTACCAACTTAATCTTTAATCTAAATTTAATCTAAATGCTGCTGAATTTTAAGGACCATTGAGCACTGTCATAACAGCAGACGTTCATGTAGAGGTGAAACACCTCTGATAGACTGGATTATGGCCTTAAAATGCATAAAATTTCAGGCAGCTTTCTTGTTCCAGGTACTGCTATGAGAGGAACCTGGCAGTGACCCCGCAGGGGGGTAACACGGGCCTCGTTGGGGGCAGCGTTCCCGTCTTTGATGAGATCATTCTCTCTACTGCTCTCATGAACCGGATCATCAGCTTTGACAAGGTGTCAGGTAAATATCACAGAGATGTGAGGCACAGGAATGAGCCCCAGGCCTCAAAACAAGCATTATCCTGGGAACAGATAACAGCAGGATCAGCCGGGTTCAGCCCAGCAGCATCATAAGGGGTGTCAGAGGTTTGTTTGGATTTGGAGAGTTAGGGATCAGGCTGGTGTGAGTCTTTCAGTTCAGAGAGAGAAGAGGTACACTTAATGTGATTGTGTTTTACCAGGCCAGAGTTGTGGGTGACCAGATGATGAGGTGATGGGAAAGCTCCCCGAGGGGTAGGACAATGCCCTGGAGCATGCACAGACTCCTTGTGCATTAAAACTTGAATGCCAGGAAGTTCTGGAGGAGGAGGTGGTTGCATCTGCTCTTACTGCTCCTGCCTCTTGGAGAGGCACCTTTTTCTCAGCCATCAGCTTGTAGCAGGGCATTTTTGTTCCAGGAATCCTTGTGTGCCAAGCTGGCTGTGTCTTGGAGAGACTCAGCGAGTACTTGGAGGAGCAGGGGTTTATCATGCCGCTCGACCTGGGAGCCAAAGGCAGTTGCCACATCGGGGGGAACGTGGCCACCAACGCCGGAGGCCTGCGGCTCTTGAGATACGGCTCACTGCGAGGGACGGTGCTGGGCCTGGAAGTGGTAAGGCGAGTAGCTGGCACTTCCCTTCTCTGTTTAATCCTCTGCTTCTTACTGCTTCCTGCTCCTCTGGCTATCCAGCACGCAGAAAAGTTCCTCTCCAGGCTTCTGCTGTTAACTTTTCCTCATTGGGCTCTTTTGAGAAGGGTCAGTGCGTGTCACATCTGTTACTGCTGCGGCAGCTTCCAGCTCCCACCTCTGTGCTTGCTGACAGAGGTGCTGTTGAGTGGTTTGCTAATCCAGAGGAGTGAAAAGAAGGTATCTCTATTGGGGGATCCCAGGTTACTTGCATGAGGTTGGTTCCTCTCAGCAGTCTGCTAAATCCAGGTCTCTGGAACACTCTGCTTAATCCATCCTGCAGCACTCTTTTCTAGTGGCTGCTCAGTTGGCTTTTAATAGAATCACAGGGTCACAGGTTGGTTTGAGTTGGAAGGGACCTTAAAGATCATCTTAAGGCTTAAAGCCCACCCCATAATAACTGCTTTGGGTTCATTTGGCTGCTGGCTTTGTCCTAGAGCCTTTGCTGTTCCTCAGCTGTTTCTGCCCTACAGGCCTGTGCCTCAATGTGTAAAGGCTGGGTTAGGCGTTCTGAAAGATTTCAGGGCTGGGGAGCAGAGCACTAATGGGAAATAAATTGGGCAGGGAACAAAAGTGTGGCTTGATTTTATTCTGTAGGCTTAGAAGGGAGAGTGTTTGTCTTTCAGGTCAGTCCCTCTAGTGTCAAAATAGCCCTTACTAATGTGCCTTGGTTGATACGCAACCTTGATTTCAGGCTCAAATGACTTTACCTTATTCTGCTTAACTGTTCACTGTTTCAAGTAGCATTTCTTGTTTCTGTCGAATACCTGGAGCTAGGGCTGCAGAGAATGGCTGGTCTTCTCCACCACTAGTAGGAAAAGCAGAGCAAACTGTATCTTCTGTTATTACTTGTCCTGCTGGAAGGAGAGAAGTATGAGGGAAATACCTACTCTATCCTACTCAGGTAGGATATAGAGGGGAGGAAGAGCTGGGAGTGGAGGAGCAGTGTGGGAATGGGCTGCAGCTGGTGTCCCCCTGCTCAAGGTGAGTGGCAGCTTGGTCACAGACAAGTTCATGACATCAGATTCCTACCTGGGAGCGCTGAGTGAGCCTCCTTGTTCCCACAGGTGCTGGCTGATGGCTCAGCTGTGGACTGCCTGGCCTCTCTGCGCAAAGATAACACGGGCTATGACTTGAAGCAGCTCTTCATTGGATCTGAGGGGACCTTGGGAGTTATCACTGCTGTCTCCATACTCTGTCCTCAGAAACCTAAGGCTGTAAACGTGGCATTCCTAGGTAGGAGCTGATATTAATGATTTCACACCTGAATTCAGAGGCTGGGAAGGGAATGGGGATGGAGAGGAGAAATCATTGCTCGGCCTGCTGAGCTGGACTGCCAGCACTGGCTGGTTCCTGGGAAATATTGTGGGGCTCTGTGCTGAAATACCTGTGCAGGTATTAAATATCTGCTGAAATAACTGCAAGGGCAGGTTGCTCTGTAAGGAAAGTAGGAGATTAGGGTGAAGTTGCAGGTAGGACATTCCCCTCATAGACGAAGACCTGGTCTGACAGTATCCAAAAGAGGTGAGCAGGGCAAGTCTGTGACAGTAGGCAGAGGCAGCCACCATCCAAGGGCCACCAGGTGACAAGTTGGTGACAAGGCAAGGCTGGGAAGTCAAGTCTGCAGGGTCTGGATCAGCAGAGTACAGGGCCAAGCACAGCTGCTTAGAAGCTGCTTCTGAGTGTTCCTCAGCAGGGACAGAGTTATTTGTGGGGAGCCTTCTGAACCTTTTTTGTCAGAAACCTCCAAAGGGTTTTTGGGGGGGTCTGTTTTTGTTCCTGATTGCTCTCTGTGTTCTGTCTGAAGGCTGTCAGAGTTTCGCTAAGGTTCTGGAAACATTCACAACCTGCAGAGCCATGCTGGGTGAGATCCTGTCTGCTTATGAATTCATGGATGAGAAGTGCATGGAATTGGTTGAGAGACATCTCAAGCTGTCCAGCCCAGTGAGAGGTACCAGTGACATTCATGCTGTAGAAAGAGGCATTGTACTACTTGGGGATTTTTGGCCTAGTTTTAAACACTTCTTAAGAAGTTGACTCAATGGCTTTTGAAAAGTCAGTGAGAGTGTCGGCATCCCTCATAATTTTTGTACCCAGTATTCCATTCCAAACACCTTTTATCTTTAAAGATAAGACTTTTTACTTCTACTTGTTCCCACAAAACTGACAGTTTTCTGAAAAGTGCTGACTAAACAAAGGATAGAGCATGTCAGTGAAGTGCCCTACAGATAAAAGATTGCCTCTTGAGCCCCTCTTCTGCCTGGCACCAGGGAGTCTGGGCACATAACATATGCCAAGCTTGGGAGAAGCTCCAAAACCTGCCCTAAATTCCTGTGTTTTATCCCAGGGCATCTGCTTACTCTGGTGTCCCTCACTTTCAGGCAGCCCTTTTTATGTTCTAATTGAAACTTCGGGCTCCAACTCAACCCACGATGAAGAAAAATTGAACAACTTCCTAGAACAGGCCACGGCTTCTGGTTTGGTCACCGATGGAACTGTGGCAACGGACGATAAGAAAATAAAGGCAAGTCAGTGTTTCCTCTTCCACAAATCTCTTCAGGCTGGATTTGTATTTTTCACAGGGAAATGTTCAGGCTGATGTTTGGTATAAGCAGGGAACCCAAGAAGCCACTTGGTTTATTGGTGTTTCTGTGATGTTTGGTTGCTCAGACGCTGTGGAGCCTGCGGGAGAGGATCACAGAGGCCCTCACTCACGAGGGTTACGTGTACAAGTACGACATCTCTCTGCCTGTGGGAAAGCTCTATGACCTCGTGACTGACATGAGGGCTCGGCTGGGCCAGAGTGCCAAGAGCGTGGTGGGCTACGGCCACTTGGGTACGTGGGGATGCTGGGAAAGGAGGTGATTGCCCTTCTGTGCTCCAGGCTTAGCTGTGCAGCTTCCTATTAGTGTTAAAGTTTGGGTTTAGATTAGTGTTCTAGATTAGTGAGAGGCATAAACTGAGGGCTGTCAGAAGAGGAGGGTGCATCAGGATCTTTGTGTTTGAATTTCATTGCTTTCAGACTGTGTTCCATAAGTTAATGGCAGGTTGCTGGCCTGCCAGCCAGGGACCTGGTCATTTATATCTTCTTTCTCTGTACTTTTTATTTAAATATTTAACTTGATCAATTGGACCATCAATTTGGTTAATGCGCTTAGACATATTTGACAGATAAACTCTTTTTTGTCTAAAGTGATTAGTCCTACTGGAAATGAATTGTTTGTGAGCCATTAACCTTCCAACAGAGAGTATAAAGATACTGCAGAGAAAGGCTGATACATTTGTCATCATGCTGGGAAACTAATCTGATTTTACAAGCAGGTAAATTGGTCGCTTAGCAGAGCTGTTCTGTTGTACAAAAAAATAGGGAACACTCTTGAACACACTTGATTAGGGATGATTTGAAAGACACGTTGCATAACAAAGGCTCCCTGTGGTAGTTCTTGGTATTGAGGATTAAGCTGTGTGCAGTGAGGGTTTGCGGGGTTGCAGGAAGAGGATCTGAAGGGAGGAGGATGAGTAAATTTTGTTTATCTTTCTGTGTTTTGTCTTCAGAGTACCCAGCAGCTCTGTGCTTAATCAAATACCATCACACAGTGGCAAAAGGAGAAACTGTTCTGCTTTCTTTGTTTCTGTTGACACAATGCCAAAGCGCATTTAGAGCACTGCACAAGCATAATAGGGAGAGAAAAAGTGATGAAGGGCCATGTTAAAATCTAATGATCATTTTGAAATGCTCTTGGGGAAGTCTTTGACACGGCATCACAGTGGTGGCACAGTAAATGATGCAGCACAGTGGGAATTTTAAAATCACAAAAGTCGGAGTTTGAAAGTAGCATAACTCAAATATTGCACTGGAAGCACGGAAAAACAAAGATCCTATTTGAATTACTTGTGCACAGAGAGGCTGACGTTTTGTGGGACAGTGAGCTTGTCCTTTTTATACAGTTTGCAGACTAACAGAGGCCCCATTGTTTGAGTGCGTGGAGGAGCCAGGAATGAGTATCCATTGCAGGGCCACCAAGTTTTTCTTCCAGACCCAACTCTGCGATGTTTTCTTCCAGGAGACGGGAACTTGCACTTGAACATCACGGCGGAGTCCTACAGCCATTCCCTGCTGGATGCCATCGAGCCCTTCGTGTACGAGTGGACTGCGAGGTGCAGTGGGAGCATCAGCGCAGAGCACGGGCTGGGCTTCAAGAAGAAGCAGTTCATTCAGTACAGCAAACCCCGCGAGGCAGTGGCGCTCATGCAGCGCTTCAAAGCCATGCTGGACCCCAAAGGGATCCTCAACCCCTACAAGACTCTGCCCTCGGCTCCTGAGAGCAGCACACGCTGAGGGACCAGCGGAGGGTGGCCCGGTACCTGCACTTTAGCCATAAACACACTGGTGCATCAGTAAGCACGTGGAGTGCTCCGTGTTTGATTTATTTATTGGGATGGAACAAGTAAAGGATCATGGTTGCTCTTTTCAGGGGTGCCTGCTCTTGCTGAAGGACACACTACTGTGCTTCCTGTTTAATCTGAACACTGAAACCAAAAATGCAGGTACTGTGTCTGGATATCCCAGCTCTCTGCATTTGCTCTGATTTTTCAGTGACACCAACCAGAGGAGGCATTTTCTCACTTGGGGTGTGCAAGTGAAGCATCAGAGACACAGCAGAACCTGTGGATGCAAATCTTCCAAGTGAAGATGTTGCTCTTCCTAGCTTGTTTTACATAATACACTTATCCCAAAGCCCACAACAGCATCAGGTTATGGCCTCTGTAGTGATGCCAACTCCAGGCTGTCCTAAATAGGCATCAGTGTTGTCCCACGTACAGGTTTGCAGTCCTGGAAAGACTGGCCAGAGAAGTGAGGGTGCCTGGAGACCCAGCTTCTGGGGTTTATCAGCTGGAGGGGAAATGTCAGCAGCCAGGCTGAGGGAGGGGACCCCTGGACATCTGTCTGGCTGGGGCAGGCTGTAGGCATGCCAATATTTTCTTGCTTCCTTGACTTCCAATCTGTCCTTGACAGCAAGTCATGTTTTCTCTCACAGAGAGATATAAAATTAATGAGGCTGGATAGAGATAATAACAGTGACGTTATAATCACCCAGAGGGATAATCCAAAAGGGTGGGGCTTGGAGCAGCCTGGTCTAATGGAAGGTGTCCCTGCCCATGGCAGGGTGGTGGAACAAGATAAGCTTTAAGTTCCTTCCAATCCAAAGTATCCTGGGATTCCAAGATGGAAGTTCTGCAGACTCTGGAGGAACAACAGAGGGATCTGGATAGATGGACCATCGGGTAGTTGTCAGTGGCATGAAATTTAACAAGTCCAAGTGCCAGATTTTGTGCCCAAGACCAAGTGACACTGAGCACAAGTATAAACTGGGAGAGGAACGGCTGGGAAGCAGCCCTGCAGAAAGGATCTGGGGATGCTGGTTGGCAGCAGCTTGGTAAGAACCAGTGGTAGCCAGGAGGGCAAAAGGCATCCTGGAGGCATCTTACGTTGCACAGCCAGCAGGGCAGGAGAGGGGATGGTCCCACTGTGCTCAGCACTAGTGTGGCCTCACCTGGAGCCCTGTGTGCCAGGGTGGGCCCCATCATTAAAGATGATGTGAAGGTACTGGAATGTGTCCAGAGAAGGAAAACCATGCTGGTGCCAGGGCTGGAAGACATGTCCTGGGAGGAGGCTGAGGGCTCTGGGTTTGTCTGGTTTGGAGAGAAGGAGGCTGAGGGGCGACCTCATCACTCTCTGCAGCCTCCTGAGGAGGGGACGTGGAGAGGGAGGTGCTGATCTGATGGGAATGGCTCAAAGCTGTGCCAGGGGACGTTCAGACTGGACATTACAGAGCGAATAACCAAATACTGCAACAGGCTTCCTGGAGAGGTGGTTGATGCCCCCAGACTGTCAGTGTTCCAGAGGCATCTGGACAATGCTGTAACTTTAGGACAGCCCTGAACTGGTCAGGCAGTTGGACCAGATGATTGTTGTAGGTCCCTTCCAACTGGACTGTTCTATTCTAATGTGGTTGGTTTTGTTGGTTTGGGGTTTTGGTTTTATTTGCTACAGTCTGTTTTGAAATAACAGAAGAGATCGTAATTTATGGTTTGTTGTACAAAACCACATTGTCACCCTTCCGCTACAGATGGCAGTGAGTCATCTGGTCTACTTGGTGCTTGCTTGTGATATCCGCATTTACCAATACATGTCACTCTTAATCCAGGCTCTGTTGTATCCAAACAAAGGTGATGATTGGGAAGAGCCTAGGGATTTGCCAAAGGTAAATAACCTGACCACCTTCTACAACAAAATGACACTTTCTGTCAACATGGGTGCGGTGAATTAATCCAAGCAGAGACAGATGTCCAGGCAGCTCTATCTCATAACTTTATTACCCCATATATACATTTTTTACCCCATGTATATAGAGGATATCAAGGCAAACCGGATGTTTCTTATTGCCACCCGTGCCCATGCAACTGCTTTCATTCACAAAGAACAGTCATGCCTCGAGGGGCTTTCCAGCTTGACCTTGTGATTCTTTTCACACACACTAGTTTTAGCTCTGGCTAGCTTAGGACCACAATAATTTTGCTTTAGTGTTTTCTTCTTCTTCTTTTATCATCCAGGTGGATGGTGGTGTCTGTCTAGCTGCCCCTACATGTGGGGAAAGCAGTGGGTGTCAGCAAAGCCTTTGATGCTCTTTCCCATAGTCTTGTCCAGGGTGGGCAGGGGTTTGAGCGGCCTGGTCTGATGGAAAGTGTCCCGTTGCCCATGGCAGGGGGGTCGGAACGAGGCGAACTTCCAACTCAAACCATCCTATGATTCTGTGATTCTCCTGGACAAGCTGGCAAGGCTCAGAGCAGCTGCCTGGGCTGTGGGACAGGTCGGAAGTTGGCTGTGCTCAAAGGGTGCTCATTGGTGGTTTTTACTCCCATGTACTGGTTTGGGAGGCCTTACTGGATGCCATGAGGGTAGGACACAGTAACTGTATTCTCTGCTAGCTGCTTTTCAGTGATTTTGGTTCTTTGCAGACCAGTGACATAAATGTTCCATCCAGAGCCTTTTCCTTGGAAGAGGAATCATCCTAGGGAGTCAGTTTTCTTCTGTTTTAGCCCAGAACACAATCTCTACAACGCTGGGAGCTGTTGGATTGCATTAAGGATGCTGGCTTATGCTCAGCACTGTGTTGCAAACACCCTTCCCGATACAATTCCAAGATCACACCTCTCTCAGCTTGGCCACATGGATGCTTTTGACAGGAATATCTTTGTGTGTTATGTGGCCTGCCAGTATCTAGTCCTGCCCTCCCGTCTTGTCCCTTCAGCTCTTTCTCTCTGCTATGGCACATCCCCACCTCTCCATTCCTCAGGACCAGTTAGAGAGGAGCTGATCGACCTCTTCTTGGGTGAAGCAGAGTGAACAATGCTGTCATTAGCAAAAAGGAAGAATTTCTCCACAGAAAGAGTTAGACATCAGAAGGGGTTGCCCAGGGAGGTGGTGGAGCCCCCATCCCTGGAGGTGTCCAAGGAATGGCAAGGAATGAGCACTCAGTGCTCAGGTCTGGTTGACAAGGTGGGCACCGGGCACAGGTTGGACTCGATGATCTTGGAAGTCTTTTCCAACCTAAATGAATCCTGTGGTTCTGTGAAGGAGAAGACAGCCCATGGAACACAGTCAGCCTGTGCTGCTTGGATGTGGGGTGATGCAAAAATATGAAAAGTCTATGATGTTTTTGAGGGAAAAATATGCAGGATTTGCTTTCTGCCAGGAGAAGCTGATGCAGCTCGTTCTTTCCAAATCAGACTGTTTATATTCTCTGCCTTTTTCCTACACCATTCTTTCTCTTTTTTCCCCCCAAACTACTGACCATCACTGTTTAAAATACAGGCCTTCCACGTGAAAGGCTCTTTTTGGGAAGCAGAACTTTCCATACTCCTGCTTTTCAGCTACATATGGAGAGAGTGCTCGGGAGGGAGTCAAGGCTGACACACAACCTAGTGCTGTGGCCAGGGAAGTTCTGGCACAGCTCCACTTAACCATCTTCCATGCACATGAGGATCCTAAAGCTCCATGTAAGTTTTACTGTTTCACTAAACCATAAAGCAATTCCCTGAGGGAATAGAAGGGAGGAATTATTGTAGGGTTATTTTACAGGAGCTTTCCTAGACCTTAAACACCAGCATTACTCTCCTGTTCCATGTTCTCAATGATGTTTTCAAATAGTGGTGCACTGTTGTACAGGGGGGAGAGACAGGGTGGGGACATATGTGTGTATTTTTATGAAGAATCATTGTGGCAGGGACTTCTTGTCCAAAATTCTATATTTTTCTGGGACAGACTTGAATGTTAGGATGATGTGGATTCTCCACACTTTGGAGCAGTGGTCTTCTGGCACAGTGAGGAAGCACTTGGCACTCTGTACTGCTTTTGCCTCTCTATGTACTGTTTTTTGGCTGGGATACTGTTAATTTTCTTCACAGTGGCTGGTCTGGGGCTCTGTTTAGAGCAGCGATGGAAGCACTGGGATGTTGTAGCTGTTGCTGAGTGGTGCTTGCACAGTGTGAAGGCTTTTTCTGCTCCTCACCCTGCCCCACCTGTGAGGGGCTGGGGTGTGCAAGGAGCTGGGAGGGGCCACGGCTGACCCCGCCTGAGCACCGGGATATCCCACGTGTAGGGCACCACACGTGTAGGATGCCACGCTCAGCAATAAAAACTGGGGAAGGAGGAGGAAGGAGGGCATTCCCAAGTCACCTTTACACGTGATGGAGCCCAGCTCTCCCAGAAGAGGAAGCTTTGCTTCCCTTTATCGCAACCCATGAGTTTTTGCACTTTCACCCCATCCCGCTGTGGGGGTACGAGTGAGCGGCTGCACGGGGCTGAGCCCCCCCAGGGACTGCCCCCCAACATGGAGCAGAGCCAATCTGGAGCTGTGAATCCAGTGCCCCAGCTCACTAATCCTGCATCAGCTGGCTGACCTTCACTGCCCTGGTCTTTGAGCAGCCCACTCCCATACGAAATCAAATATTCCTACCTGGCATCGGTTTGGTTTTTTTTGGCATAACCAAGCCTAATGATTCATGTGCAACAGCCCAGGAGAGAGCAATGAATCAATTGTAAAAGTGCAAAAAATGGGCTTTTGTGATCCATGGGCTCTACCAGCTCCCGAGTGAGAAGCGGCACAGCTGACGTGTGTAACGTAACAGGAGAAAGAGGTCAATGAAATGTGCCCCCCTTGCCAGCAGCAGCAGGTGCTGTGCCAAGAGTAACCCTAGAAATTCTCTGTAAAAGAGCACATTGACTCATGTTCTAGCAAGAAACTCAAGGAAAGCAACCCTACACCTTGCTAATCTCTGATCTTGGTAAGCACTGGGGTTGGGGCTGGCCTGGGGAAGCTGTGATTTAAAAGGAAATGCTGCGTATTTGGGCACTCTGAAGACAGAGCACCATGGGTGAAGGAGTTCTGAGGACTTGGCTGTTGGTGGGACAGATTGGGACACAGCATACGAGGTTTGGAAAGGTAACACTGTGGGTGGGGAGGGAAAGGGGACCACCAGGAGATGCATGGAACATGGCATGGCCATAAAAGACAAAAAGCAACAACTTAATCCCCCCTGATCCAGGCTGGGAGATGTGGCTACACTCCTGCCCAAATGAGGAGAGCATTGGCTTCATCTCTGCGTGGGGAAGAGGGAGATGACCCCACTTCCAGACCTGCAGGACAAATCCTGCTCTCACCAGGGCAATTTGCAACTGTCAAACCCACTTCGTCTGGTGCTGGTGTACAGCAGCCTTGGTGGAATTTTAAATTCCTGCATAATGCAGGTTATAATGGTTGTTAACACCAAGAAGTAATTTTGCAAACAAAACATAAAATAAGGCCCGATTATGGGCAAGAGCTCTCCCCCCACCAAGGCCTGGATGCAGCCAAGTGCCTAAGCCCTTAACCTTCAGCTACAATAATTCCATTTTTACCAAAAAGTGGGAAGTCTAAATGTTTTAAGAGGAATTTTCAGTAGGTGAGCACCATTCCTGTTTTGCTCATGTCCCTAATTTTCTCTTACTGAATGTGTCTGGCAGGGAATTACAGTCCCAACCCACTGTGCAAGAAGCAGAGGAAAGGGACAGCAGGCACTGACTGTGGCCCCAGGCAATGTGACATTCAGGGTCACAGAGGGACCAGTGCCCTCCACCAGCCCCACAGCACCAGCACCCTGCCTGGATCCTGTTGTGAGCCCCCCTCACCTCCCTCCTGCAGCCAGGAGAGAGGGTGGTCCCCACTAAGGTGTCCCTGCCAAACCTTTCCTTCCCTGCAAAGCTGTTGCAATTGCTGGGGGCATTTTTTTATACCTGGGGCAGCTTTTTATACGTCTGTTTATATCCTGCCACACCAGCGCTTTCCATGGCTTATTAATTAACTCCCACCCACTCTGGGGAACACCTAGCCACTCCCTGTGTCCTCACCTTTATCCTGCCTTTGTCCTCACCTACCCATTTATGCTAGAAAAAGGTGCGTGGCCACTAAGAGACAGAGGAGATGAAAAGGGTACTGGAATCAATTTGCAAATGAGACATTTCCCAGCTCGAAGCAGCATGAAAAGCCCTGGGTGCACTCCAAGGTAAGGGCAGAGGGAGCCGAGTGCTTGGGGTGCCGAAATAAAACTCGCTTTGCGGGAAGTTCTGATTCAGGTAATCCCTGGAAGTTGTTAATAACCTATAGACTTAGTTCCAGTTTGCTCCAGTGTAGGGATTAATTTTGCCATGAATATTTCTTTCCGGTGTTCCAGGTCTTTTAATTTGAAAGAACCTTGTGAAGTTGACGCAGAGGTCTGTTATTTTCTGCTTAAGCCAAAGCAACAAGGAGGTTGCCCCAAGCCTTAAAGCATCTGTAGCGGCACCTCCAAGAGAGGTAGTTTTCCATGTTTTCTTCAGAGCTGGGAGATGGCACAGCACAGGTTGGAAAGGCAAGTGGAGCCTCCGGCGGCAGCCCTGCCGAGTGCTCCGCAAGTTTTTTGGCTTCTTAGAAGAATTGTGTATTTTCACAGTCAGCTCCCAAGTGCTTCCTCCAAGGGCTCCCAGGCTGGTTGCGTGTCACGGATGCTTAGGTAACCTCAGCGCGATGTTCGAGTTGGGGCTTTCTCTCTTGAGCTTTGCTTTGCCAGATCTTAGAGGTCTTTTCCAGCCTAAATGATTCCATGATTCTGTTCAGGTCAGAGACTTGCAGTGTTGTGACAAAGGGTGGGGTGTATGCCACTAAGGGAACAGTCTTTAAGGCTCTCACAGAGGTGTGCCAGGGTGGTGGGAGCCTAACAGGGGGTGAAACCCCAGTGCAGGTTTGCAGGACATAGAATCATAGAATATCCTGAGCTGGAAGGAACCCACAGGGATCATCGAGTCCACCTACTGGCCCTGCAGAGGATAACCCAAAAAATCACACCATGTGCCTGAGAGCACTGTCCGAAATCTTGATATTCTCATAACTTCCATGAGGTGTATTTGAAGCATATAGAGCCTGAAATGTAATCATTGTTCTCTGCAGACTTTCAAGGAGTTGTCATGTCTTACTCACTTGTCACTGGAAGCAAGGTGTGGTAGCAAATCCCACACTGGTCCTGTGCTGTTTTCTGGCAGAGCAGTGGCACTGTGTTTAAAACAGGATGTGTATGCTCTGGGTAAAGGTCCTACACAGTTTCTATCAGTAAAAACTCTGAATCATTTCAAGAGCTCACTTGTTTACAAGCACAAGGTCTGCAGGAATGTTGGAGATTTGTCATAAGAGGAGGGAAAGGTCCCATCGGTTTGGTCCATGAGAGGTTTATTCCCACTCGGTGTGTGGGACTGTCATGCTGCAGCCAGTGGCAGCCCCTGTGAGTGCAGCTGTGGGTGGGCAAGCCCAGGGGGTGATGGGGACAGGACCCCCTGTGGTGGTCAGGACCCGGCTGCACGAGTGCACTGACCAGCACCCCACATACCTGCAGCCCCTCCTCTCATCCCCCTCTCTCTGTTTTCCCACACTCCTCCCTGGGGATCACCTCGATCCCTGCCTTTGGCCCTTCCCCTGGACACCTCCATTGCATGCCTTTGCTGGGCTGAGGGGCAGCAGAGTCCCCTCCATGTCCCCACTCCCTGCTCATTCCCTAAGATGGAAGGCAGATATCTTTCCATCCATTCATCCCTCCCTCCATGCCGGGCAGAGGAACAAGCACTGTGCCATGAGAATGCATCATTTGTCATCCCCGGGACAAGAAGCCTGTTATTTCTGTGCATTCTGGCACCCCCATGGACCACGTCCCACAGAAATCAGTCACTCTTGCTCCTTAAAACTGCCGTGGTTTTGGCCTAGATAATTTGGACCTTTATCCCCACTGTGTCTCCAGATGCAGAATCCAGCTGTTGTTTGGTTTTGGGCACATGCTGACAAAACATGCTAGGAGCATTCAGTTAGGCTGGAGATAAGCTCACTGTGCTGGACGTGTCTGGAGATTTGGAGGCGGGAAGGCACTTTGTAATCCTTTATTTAAGTAAATAATTATTAAAATATCGTGGGATTCCTTAAGGTGATTGGATGCAGAGGTCTGCAGAGTCTGTCTTCTTGCAGCAGGAGGGGCTGCTAGTCCTTCTAGAGCATATTGTGAGCCTGACCTGCCTTCAGGATGATTGTGGGTGTGTGCGATTTGTTTGCCCCATAAAACATCAGTCAGAGTCCGTTCTGGGGACACCACCCAAACAAATAAATGGACTGTTATGGCCTAATTGCACCTAAGAAAAGGTGCAAAAGGAGGACACTGCCAGATCAGCTCAGGAAGGACCTCCAGGCAGGCAGGGTGGTGGAAAACTATTGCACCAGCAACATCTTTCAGTTTAAACGAAAGACCAAGAAGATTGGCAGGGGCTGCACGTGGCTGATGTGAGCCTGCCTGCTGCCTGTGGGCCCCTCTGCCTTCCTTCTCCCATCCCATCTCCAAGGATAGGGGATTGTCCCACTCCTGCCCCCCAAACCTGGGACCAAAACTGAGGAAATCCTGATGAAATCTTGCCTGCAGCAATGTCTTGAAACTATTCCTGCAGAAGCTGTGCTGTAAATTCCTGTCAGAGGTTGGTACCAGCTGTGGCTGAGGGCGTTCTCTGGCTTTGGGAAGGGCTCTTGGAGAAAGGTTTGGAGCCTTGCTTGCTCCCTTAGGAGAGTGGGAACCAAGAGTGCAACCATACCATGCTGTAAATTGGGATTATATCTTCCCAAAACAACTTAAAGCCAGAGCCATATCTAGTGCATTTTGGGAATGGTGGCTGAAAACATGGAATTCACAATGAGTTAAAACATCAGAGAAGTCAGATCAAGCTTGGTGATGAAAAATTCCTTTTTGTTGGGCGTCACACCTTCAAAAGATCCTCTCTGTGTCCCAGCAGGACACTGGTGATGATCGTGGTATCACAGGATGGTTTTGGTTGGAAGGGACCTTAAAGACCCCCTGGACTCATTCCAACCCCCTGCCACAGGCAAGGACTCTTTGATACGTGGTGGTTGCCTAATTAGTGCTGGAAAAGATTCTCCCCCTCATCGTTACCCAGCCCCTCCATTTCAAAGTGGGGTGTAATTAATCATTACAAACCAAACCTTGTTTGGTTATTAATTGATTTTCTGACTTGAAAAATCTCAGTTATATTGAAAAAAACTCCTCCATTTAGTGTTTCTTTGTGTTCCCCATCTTCTGGAGTGATGCGATTACAGGAGCTGCTTGGGTTTCTCACCGGGAAAGTCTTTATAGCCCTACAAAGGGCTCGTTTTCTAGTGAATAATCTGGGAGTTTGAATAGTGAATAAGCTCTAAAGCCCCAGAAAAGCAAAACAAAAGGCAGCAGAGCAGAGTGGAAGGCTGTTGGAAAAGCTTAGGCTCTGCGTGAAGCACACTGTGTCTTGCCAAAGGTGAAAATTAGGAGAATAATAGTGAAAATGCAATTTCTCACTGTCTTGTCTCTAACACCAGAGCTGCTGACACAGCTGGGGGTGCCAAAGGTGGCTGCCACCACTGAGACCTAAAACTGTGCTCCCAGGGATTAAAATTCCCAAGGGCAAGATGCAAAGTTTGGTGATTCAGGGAAGGACAATCAGATAAAAATCCACTGAAACTCTTCTTCTTTTTCCAGGCATATCAGATATCTCATCATCTTCAGCCTTTTGCTGGGACTCATCTTCCTGTCAGGATTCTTCCATAGGATGGATAAGGATTATAGGTAAGTGAAGCAGAAGCAAGGCTGCATGGCTTTGTGTGCCCAGGCAGCCAGGACCCAACTGTGACACCTGATTCAGCTCTCATGAGGCTTAGGCTAATACTGGAAGGGCAGTGTCCCCAAAATAAGTGCTAGGTCCATGTAGGGGTGGGTAAGGAATCAAATTAGCCAAAATGCAGGTCTTCAGGGTAAAATCAGCTGGATAGGGAATGAAAAAGGGATTGAGCTGAAGCCTTTGGGTAAGGAAGAAATGGGAGAGAGAGAAAACTCTTGACATCTACTCTGGAGGGATGGGGCTGGTTTGGGTGCAGCCTTGCACCAGCTGGAGGTGTGGTGTTGGAGGAGCCCCTGGGTTTGGCTGTGCAAGGTCTCAGGGATGGGGAGCAGCACCGCAGAGGCCGCTTGCCCCATCTGTCACCTTCCTACAGAGTCTTCAACAGCCTCGGGGACCAAGCTGTTGCCTTCCTGCAGAATCTCAAACAGCCACTGCCGACCACTCCCACGTCGTGCCATGCCAAGACAAACGTCATGTTCCTCAAGACCCACAAGACAGCCAGCAGCACCGTGCTCAACATCATGTTTAGGTTTGCAGAGAAGTACAACCTCACCGTCGCCCTCCCTGCTGGCCAGCTCTTCCACCTCGGCTACCCGAGGACTTTCATGGCCCACTTTGTGGAGGATTTTGAAGCCATAGGCCAAAACTACAACATCATGTGCAACCACATGCGGTTTAACCCCTCGGAGGTAAGAGAGAGCCACAACACCTGCGGAGAAACCTGGTTGGGACAGCAGTGCCTCCGGAATAACCTCTTCTTCCTCCCACAAATAGGTGCAAAAGGTGATGGCACCCAACACCTTCTACTTCTCCATCCTGAGGAACCCCATTCCTCTGCTGGAGTCTTCCTACATCTACTACAAGAACGCTGTCCCTGCCTTCTGGAACTCCAAGGATGTGAACGAGTACCTGGCGTCACCCACGAGGTATTACCACCCAAAGCATTACGGGCAGAACATCTACGCCAGGAATATTATGTGGTTTGACTTTGGCTACGACAACAACGCAGAGGATAACACAAACTACACCCAGGCCATCCTCGAGGAGATCGAGCAGAACTTCCACCTCATCCTTATAGCAGACTACTTTGATGAGTCCATGATCCTCTTGAAGCACACTTTGTGCTGGGATCTGGATGACGTGATTTACTTCAAGCTCAATTCCAGAAGTCAGGACACTGTCCAGACTTTGACTCCGGAAAGTGAGGAGCGGATAAAAGCATGGTGCTCGCTGGACTGGAAGCTCTACCTGCACTTCAACCAGAGCTTCTGGAGGAGAATTGAGGAGACCATAGGGCTGGAGGTGCTGGAGAAGGAGGTGGATCACCTGCGAACCAGACAGAAGGAGCTCATGGAGACCTGTCTCTTGGAGCAGGAGCCAGTGGGGAAGGAACACATCAGGAACAAAGCTCTCCAGCCTTTCCAGTCAGGGGCTGCAAATATCCTGGGGTACAACCTCAAACAGGACTTGGACAACAGGACTCTGAGAACCTGCCAGCAAATGGTCATTCCAGAGCTCCAGTACACGTCCTACCTTTACAAGGTCCAACACCCGCAAAGGAAGGGGAAGCCGCTGGGATTGCCATTGCCATGGACCAGTCTCCAGAAGAGGATGCAGCTCTCAAATACCAACTAGGACACATTACAACCCACTGTGGCTTCCCACTGCTTTGCATCACCCCATGTCTGGCATGTGACTGACCCACACAAGACAGGACTCTTGTGCATGAAGGGGAGGCAGTGGGGGCTTTGTTCAGGGTCACCAAGTTGGTGGTTGGTCCCTTTTTGGGGACCTTGAGCCAAAGGCTCTGCGTTGGTCAGATCCTGCGTGATCTTTCCTGCCTGTTCCCAGCTGGGGAGTGCTGGGCAGGCTGCAGCTGGCATAGACATTCCAGCTTCTTAATCATTAATCACAGGTGTGATCATTTGCCTGCTTTAATTTCATTTGATATCCATGACTACATCCAATCTGGTCACAGCTCACTGGAGCAAGTCCTGATTTTTTGGGTTTAGGGGAGGGGGAGGGAGACAAGGAGAGCGCAATGAGGGGATGCAGCTCTCAAAGGAGAAGGAGACGTGTTGGATGTCCCATCCAGCAGCATCCATGTTCAACAAGGAGTAACCACCATGCCCTGCGGGGGCTGCCTTTGGGATGGGAGTCCCAAGCATCTGTCCCAAAGCCAGGCGTGCTGACTGGCTGCCTTTCTCCGTGGCATGTGAGGTGTTCCTTTCACCTGTGCCACGAGGTGTGGCAGCCTCTGCCCCACATGGGACACCTTGGTGCTCCTCTGGGAGGACATTTTGTGGCTTTGCCCCTCTCTCTTGTGGGAGGGTCCCCGGTCTGTGGGCAGGGAAGGTCCTTTGGGATCAGCATCCCTGAGGGCCTTTACCAGCATAGGGTTTGTTGGGTCTCCCCTTGCTGCACTGGCCGAACTCTCCAGCACAGGAGAGGATGGGGTGAGGCACTGCTTTGGGCACGCTGGTGCCATCCAGGTCCCCACTGCCACCCCTGCTGGTGCAAGCAGGAGACACCAGCTCAGCTTCTGAGTTTATTGGCACTGTTGGCACCGAGGGGTGTGTTGGGAACTGGTGACGAGTGGTCACCACATCCACGGGGCTGGTGCTGCCACCTTGACCAACGTTCCTGACACTGCCACAGCAGCAGGGCCACAGGTGGCGGGATGGGGAGGATGGATCTGGGGTTGCTTGGCTGGCAGTGTTGCCTCAGGGCAACACTGAAGCTGTGGGGCAGCAGCTCCAGCTGGGAAGTATGAGGGATGCTGTCTGGGGAGCAGGGTGGGAAGCAGACCCAGGATTTTCTTCAACTCTGTTTAAATCCATCAGGGAAGCAGCTGAGGCAGGGGTTAACCTGCCCTGCAACCTGTGCTCCTCACAGCACAGGTGTCCAGCGGCAACAACAGAGATTAACAGCATTTTCACGGTTCCCTGCTCCAGGAACCCTCTTAACCCAAGGCTCAGGAGGCATTTTTACCAGCAGGGTGGAGCAGCCAGAGCCACACATGGTCACCCTGGGCCATCCCAGGGGCCCTTCAGGGGCAGTTCTGCAGCCTCTGCGTCAGTTTTCTTCTTGGATTTTCTCATCCATGACCAGCCCTGTGAATTTTGTCAAGCCCTTTAACCTAAGTTGATAACAGTTGATAACAGGTGTAAAAATAGTTTCTTGGTAGCTGACCTGTGTGCAGGTGGGGGTCCTGGGCAGTGTGGGGGTCATGGGAAGGCTGGTGATCCTGTGGGGGCTGGGGGTTCTGGGAAGGGTGGGGATCCCAGGAGAGCTGGGGGTCCTGGGAAGGTTGGGTGTCTGGGTGGAGCTGGGGATCCTGGGAAGGCTGGGGATCCTGGGAAGGCTGGGGGTCCTGGGAAGGCTGGGGATCCTGGGAAGGCTGGAGGTCCTGGCAAGGCTGGGGGTCCTGGGAGGGCTGGGACCCTGCAGACCACAACCCCCAGGCTGGGGAGCTCACAGCAGGGTGGACCATGGTGAACATGGGCTGCAGCACCTCCCAACCTGCAGGAGGAGGGAAACTGAGGCAGGAGATGTAATTCCCCCATCATGGCTCCCCTTGCATCCCATCCCCGGGGGTCCAAAGAAGGAGGCTCAGCAGCCGCGGGGCCCCCGGCTGTGCCCGGGCCCATAACGGTGCCTTTGTGCCACGGGCACTGCACCAGCAGCTCCACTGCTGACTCAGGGATTTTTCCTGGCCACCACCACTGCGGGAGCCCCGTGACCCATTGGTGGGGGGACCCTGCAAGGGGAGAGGGGTGGCAGCCAAGCAGTGAGGAGACGGCTCTGCAGAAACCCAGCAACGGCGGGAGCTGTTGGGGCCGAGGGACAGAGAGGACAGCCCAGCCCAGCAGGACCCGGTGAGTGCCTTCGCTTTCTCGGGGGGGGTTAGATCAGCAAAAGCTCCTGATTAAACCACTGGTGAAAGTCACTCTTGGCTGCTCCAGCTGTGCCTGGAGTGGGGTGCCCGTCTCTTCCTGTGGTAATAATCCCCAGGGACACGTAGAGACATGTAACCTGGGGACAGCTGACAGTGGTGTCACTCCTGCTGTCCCCAAAGGAAGGGCACCCCACTGCTGCAGGGACAGCCCGGCCAGGGACCCCGCAGTCTATGTTGTGCACCCCAGGCTCCCCCCACAGATCAGGGGGAACAAGGAGCCCACCGGGTCCATTGTGCTGGAGGCACCAGAGGTACAGGACAAAACACTCCCTGACCCCCTCCTGATGAGCCCGGGCTGATCTGAGGGTCCTGTGTGTGCAGAGGTGGGCTCTGCCCTCCCAGTGCCCACTTGAAGGGAGCAGGGAGCTCCTTTGCTCACTGGCCTTGATTTCCCAGAAGAGCATCTTGAAGATCAATTTCATTTTATTTAATTTTATTTTGGAGTCCCCAGGTCAGCCTCCTTGCTGGTACCCGAAGTCGTGGCCAACCTGTGAGCCGCAGGGACTCCCCACCAGAGCAGTGCACGTTCAGCCTCTCTCCACCCCAGCCCTGCCCCTCAGCCCCTGCTCCCTGGGGCTTCCCCAAGCCCAAACCCACCGAGTTAAATCCCCAGCCCTTCCAAGGACAACCCAGTGCCCCTGGCCGTGCCCAGCAGCTGATCCCCCGCCTTCACCAGCCCGCTGTGGTGGGGCTGCCTCCTTTTGCTGCAGACTCCATGGGCTCCCGGCACTTCCCTGCCCGGACCGTGCTCTTTGAGAGGGAATCCAATGGCGTCACGTACCGCGTGCCCGCCCTGCTCTACCTGCCCTGTGTGGCCAAGCTGCTGGCGTTCGCCGAGGAGCGGCTCAGCGCCGACGATGCCCACGCCAACCTGCTGGTGCTGCGCCGCGGCACCATCTACGGCAGCTATGTGGAGGTGGGACGGGGGGCACACCCCGGGCTGGGGGGACACGCAGGGCTGGGGATGTGGGGACGGACGGGCGGTTGTCCTCGCTGCTGGTGTGTGGCACAGCTGAGCTCCTGGAGGCGGCTGCACGGATGGGGGTGGCTGGGGTGGGTGAGGTGAATCACGGAATCCCAGAATGGTTTGGGTTGGAAGGGACCTCAAAGGTCATCTCGTTCTACCCCCCGCCTTGTGCAGGGACACCTTCCACTAGAGACCGGGTTGCTCCAAGCCCCATCCAACCTGGCCTTGAACACTTCCAGGGACAGGGCAGGCACAGTTTCTCTGGGTGAAAAAGTAGGATGTTCCTCACCTGTCTCATCCCTTTCCATTCTCTCCTCCTCCTCCTCCCTGGGCAGTGGGAAGACATGCGCGTGCTGGAGACGGCGACGCTGCAGCACCACCGGTCGATGAACCCCTGCCCGCTCTACGATGAATTCACAGGCACCCTCTTCCTCTTCTTCATCACGGTGCTGGGCAGGACGCCCGAAGCCTACCAGATTGTCACTGGCCAGAACGTCACCCGCCTCTGCTGCGTCACCAGCGCCGACCAGGGCCTGAGCTGGAGCACAGCCACGGACCTGACACAGCAGGTCATTGGTGCAGCCATCAAAGGTACCCAGCTGGAGAGGGCTGGGGAGGGGGAAGGATGGCCAGCAAGGAGGTCACCGTGGGTTCTGGCCTCCTGGAGCCACCCGTGGTGTGGCTGGAGGTGACCTTGGAGTAGGAAGCCCACAGGCTTCCAAGAGAGTGGAAGAGAACCTTAAGCAGAGGGGAGAGGGGATGGAGGGAGTATCTGTATCACTTGGGGTAGGAAGAAGATGGAGATCTCCCCACAGCCAAGGGTAGGACCATGTGTGAGGACAACCAGGCAGCACGAGGCTGCCCTCCCACCCCACCACCTGGCTTGGCTGGACAGGGGAAGCCCTGGAGACCCTTCCACACTGGGCATGGAAGGGTACCGTGGTGGCCACCGTTTGCCCATTCCACCTTCACCACATCCCATCTCCGCTCCGCAGACTGGGCGACGTTCGCGCTGGGCCCTGGGCACGGGATCCAGCTGCGCTCCGGGCGGCTGCTGGTGCCCGCCTACAGCTACCACATCGACTGCAAGGAGTGCTTCGGGCAGCTCTGCAAGACCACCCCGCACTCCTTCGCCTTCTACAGCGACGACCACGGCCACGGCTGGCGCTTCGGGGAGTTCATCCCCAACCTGCAGACAGGCGAGTGCCAGCTGGTCTCGGTGGATGAGGAGGATGGATCCAACGTCCTGTACTGCAACGCCCGCAGCCCGTTGGGCTTCAGGGTCCAGGCGCTCAGCACGGATGACGGGGCCGTCTTCCACAGGGGGCAGCTGGTCCAGCGGCTGGTCGAGCCCCCCCATGGCTGTCATGGCAGTGTCATCGGCTTCCCAGCACCATTTGTGTATGTCCCCACCATCTCCCAGGACTCTGTGTTGCCCCTCCGGGGCTCAGCTCGACGGCTGCTACCTGGGATGTTCCAGAGGTTTCGGTGCCTGCCCACCCAGAAGGCAGCGGGTGATGAGCTGCCCACTGTGGCCACCAGCAGCCACCACGAGCCAGACGAGCCCAATGAGGACTGTCCTACCCCAGGGCATCACCAACAAGCCCAGAGTGTCACCTTGGCCCAGGGGGACCCTGCAGCAACCCCCAGCCCCACTCCCTTCTTCCAAGCGCCGACATGGATCCTCTACTCCCACCCCACCAGCTCCATGTCACGGGTCAACATGGGGGTTCACCTGAGCACCTTCCCCAGGGATGCAGAGAGCTGGACAGAGCCCTGGGTCATCTACGAGGGCCCGAGCGCTTACTCAGACCTGGCTTACATGGAGCTGCCCTACAGGGAGGCCCCGGTGGCCGGTGGCACGGCCATCGCCTTCGCCTGCCTCTACGAGAACGGGACGAGGTCGCCCTACGAGCAGATCTCCTTCAGCATGTTCACGCTGCACGATGTGCTCCAGAACATCCCCGTGACAGCCACTGCTCCCCGCCGGGGCCGCAGCCCCCGGCGCCGCGGGAAGCAGGGCCGAAGGAGCTGCCCCGTGTCCTAGTGACCACCCCAAGCCAGCT